GACGAGGCGGAAGGGAGGCGACAGGTGCAGACGGGCGGGGTGGGGATGGGGAGGTAACTGGGTGAATGTGCCGTTAGAAGTGCAGCAACAGTCGCCATTGACAAACAAAAGTACACTGGAAAATTAATCACGTATTGCCTCAGCTTCAAAGTTCTATAGACTGTGTTGGGGACAGACTTCTTAAATAATTTAAGCATTTTATACATTAAATAATTTTACAGCTTACACTAGTTTTAGTCAATGTACAGGCCTAAATATAAACCGATTATTTATCAAGCTCTACTGCTAAATAACTAAATAAGATTGTTATACTCTTTATTATTTTGTTTCAAATATACAATTTTTTTCGTGTACAGAATAAAAGAATGGATACCCCAATTATAATAATTTTCAAAATAAATAATCATTTTTACTATGGCAAAGTTTTTCGGAACTAAATAAGTTAATGTAATTAAATGAAATGACAGCTTTTGTCAACAATTCAAATTTTCTTTACGGTTCTCTCTACAAGAACGTGGTGTTTCAAGTAGCAATTCTGTATTTTTCACTGTGTATATTCAAATAAAGGAGAGAAGTATAAATGAAGACCGGAGCCCAGGACAAGGGCGTGGATGTATGCAAGAAAATATTTACAATCAAGTCGATTAACAAAAGGAAACCTTGTGACGCGCACTTTGAATTTTCCTTTTTTTGTTCTTTCTGGCTTTATGCCTGTTGGCTTTCTTCTGTTCACTCTCTCCCGCTGGCTGGTGGCTTTCCCCTCACCCATTTTCGTGTTGCTTTTTTAATTAAAAATCAGTAGACTCATGGAGCCTCTTCAGCTGCTGCCGACTGTCATCAGCGCCATTTGGCAAATCAACGTAATCATTGCAGGCACCCCCCTCTCGTAGCAAAAATCCTCGTATTTTTCATAAACATTACGAGGCAGCACTTGAGATTTCTTGCCACATTTCCCCGCCAGCAACGACAATTCATAAGCAGTGGCGGCGACGTCATCATTAGGGAAACATTTGCCTACCGCCTCCGCATATGAGTGTGAGGTGAATTGTGGCAGCTCCTGCTGCTTTCTCCTTACACCCATCCCTCCGAATATCATCCCATCCCCGGCACTGTGCTTATTGTCTTAAGAGGAAGTCAGCGGAGGTGGCCGCCGCCGAGATTGGCAAGCGGATTGGGGCCACGCATCTCGCTTTTCATAAAAAAGGCTCCCCGTTGCCAGGTTTTCTGCTCTTGGGGCGGATGCTGCTGGAGAATCGCCTAAAGGGGCTTACTGTGGAGGAGGAGTCAAGATATGTAATATAAAATATATATACAAGGAAGCTGGGAAATTAAAGCATTTTCCAACAATTTCAATCAAACTAAACCAAAAGTCCTTAAACATAATTCCATTCCTCTTGACATAATCTATGTTCCCATTCAGAGAACTTTTGAATAAAAAAATATAAAAATATTTCTTTTGATTTGCTTATTATTAGTGACATTATTTTGTAAAGATTTAAGCTATCTCAATTAAATTTAATTTAAAAAATTATTTTTGGGAATTAAAAATTCCGTATATTTTAATAATATAAAGAACTTATTCCCAAAGTTTCTCTGCCTGAAAGAATATTTGTATATATTTATCATAAAAATAAATCGTTAAATAAAGCTATACCGTTAGCTTTATTGTTTTACTATTTTACCATCAGTTTAACCGTTTCAACCCACTGTGCCATCATTGTTCAGCGAGCAATTGCAGCTTTACTTTTTCTGCGTTCTGTGCCCATCCGCCCCTTTCAAGTGCTTACGCCGCCTCCTTTCTCTTCCCTTTCTCCGGTTCTTGAACGTATATATATGTATGTATATAAACACATATATTTTGCAATTTTTCACTTTACGACTTTCACGTTGTTTATGCAAATAGGCGAAAACGCTATTTGAATTTAGCAGAAAAGAATTATGATAACGCGATTGTCAACGGCAGTCTTGATTTTATTTTATTTCCTCCTTTTTTTTGCTGTCCCTCCCCGAGACACAGTTATGATTATGACAGGGCGCCATGTTGGGTGAGTGGGAAAATATTAACAACAACAACGACAACAACTACAGGGCCCCCGAAGGCCGCCCCTCCGCGCGACACGTGCTACAAGCCGCACAACAGTTGCTGTTATTGCTCCCGTTGCTGTTTCGGTTTTTTACAAAGTGTAAATTGTTTTAATACCTTTTAGTGCTGCACAGCGCCATCTTGCCTCGTGTAGTGGCGGCAGCTGCGAGAAACTGGCTGCCACGCCCCCCGCCAGTTCCGCCCCTCGCTTCTGGGCGAACTTTTGACTTACACGTGTACGCTGCACGTTCAAATCTCAACTTTTACGACCTCTGCAGGATATTATCGTTGTTGTTTTACCAGCGTCACTTCTGCGTTTGTTGCTCCTCTTTTTTTTGCATCACCGCTGAAGCTGACTCTTACCTGTTGTCCATGCCAGGGGGGAGAGAGGCGGAAATTGCACTCAAAAAGTAATAAGGTTACACTTGGCGAAATTACACAATATAATGTATATATCAGTTTAAGTATTTATAATAATTATCCAAGAGAAATTCATGCAAAATATATTTTGTATTTCCCTACCTGAAAAACAAGTACCAGATAAACTAGTCGTCAAAGCAATAAGATTATATACGCTCCTATTATTTCGATAAACCATAAATTATAAAAAAGTCCTTTTCAACTACAAATTGTTATGTAAAACCGGAGAAAAAAAAATGATACATTTTTTTACTCAATTTTTCTTGGCTTTCTGCAGTTAGCTGTCATTTTAAAAAGTCTACAAATATTTAACACCGGTATCTAAACACTCTATTAAAGTCCCTGATAGAAATTTAATCAGAAAAGATAATTTAAAGATAATATTTCAATATTCGTTAACTATTCTCTTGGTAAATTATCCGAGCTCTACAAAAGCTCCTTCGAGCATCTAAGTTTACTGTAAGCTCCGAAATGAGCTGTAAATCGCAGCAGACATTTCCCTCAGATTGTAAATGTAATATTTGTCTTCAGTTGACTCTGTAGAAATGGCAAGCCGAAATATTTGACGGTCAGTCTGAGTTCCTGTCAACCTCTCACAATGACAAGTTAGTAAATCAAAGTTTCTTAGCCGGATCTATATCTGTCCGAAACAAATTTAACAGTTATCCTTAACAATTTATATTAACGTACAATTGTGCGTTTATATGTTTTAGCTCCAACATTAATCCTAGAGAAAAACAAATGTTTCCGATTGGAAATTTATCTGTGCGAGAAACAGTTTAACAGCTTTCATATCGTGGTGTTTTATACTAAATTTTTATTTGTATCATTTAAGATCTACATTATACGTTCTATATACGAGTGCTCTGAACAATAAGATGCTCTATGACTAATGAAATATTCGTAGAAGAACCTTGTTCTTGTCATAAATATTTGCAATCTATAATAATATTCGCACAGTGTATTCATTTCCACCTGGTGGCTGGCATCTGCCAACTACATTTGCTGACATTTCTCCAGCTGGAGACGGCGTGTCTCAGCTTTAATCAAAATTGTTTCATGAATTGTTCAGTTGTTCCAACTGTCAAATAAAGTTTTGACGCCCCCTTCTTTCTCGGGGGAAACTCCGGGCAATTAAAATACTTTGGCAGTCACTTTGCCTATTTCGTTTGCTTTTTCTGTCGACTTCTGTTGACTGTTCCTCGTTCTCTGTGTCTTGCTCTCAATTAGTTGGGCAATTTCGTTCATCACTCCGTGGAGTGCCAAAAAAGAGCGCAAATATTTAACATTAAATGCGTAAAATTAATTTATTTACCTTCGACTCTCATTACAGTTGGCAAAACAATTTGTGCAGAAGTGAGGCTACGCCATGGCAACGCAGCTGGGAGAGTTTTAAAAGTGAGTTGAGAACTTGAAATGTAATTTTATGCAACTTAAGTTGAAGTAACTAAATGCTAAATGTCTCGAAAAAAAAACACAATTTTCCAAGTTAGTTAATATATGGAAAACGGCAACTTAACCCAATTAAAATCTCACACTTTATATACATGATTAACTGTTAGAAACAGTAGACAGATTCCATTATTATCGGTCAGTGGTAATGCTGCCAGTGGCGCTGGCTTAATTGAATAATGTGTGCAATTAGGGATTAATAGCATTCCCACAGGTTCTGCCAGGTGAGAATCCCATTGATAGCCGCAAAACCCTAATTCAATTGATTGGCTCACACATTCCCATGTGGCTACATGCCCTACCATTGGCTAGTTACCTGTCCGGATGCGTTTCACAGAGGGCTCGGGGTCTCCCCGCACCTGATTACCACACTTTTAGCTGGCCTGCAGGCTAATGACCACCTGTGAGTGCGCCGCTAATGTGGCAACAGACCGCCCAAGGGCCTCTGGAGTTTTGCAATCGTCCTCCATGATTGAAATGGGTCAATCGCTAAGCGGATGAAATGTGTCAAATGGCCCGAAGCCAGCGACGGAGCCATCATCCAACCAGTTGCAACCAGTAGCTCTTGGCTTGGCTAATAAACGCGGCCAGAATGCGGCTCGTTCCAGAAGCACTCAAGCGCCGGAGCCACTCCACTCAGGTGGCACCTGTTACCTGTTACCTGCACTTGATTCGAGAGAGAGCGAGAGAGATCCGTGGTGAGTTGTTGGGTGGTGAGTTTGACCTGCACCAACCTGGCCAGTAGCCGGTTCTTCGCCGCCTTTCGGCCAACTTTCTATGCGATCTTCAGTTGTTTGAGCAGCCCCAGAGCGAGCGGTGTGCGAGCTGCTCTTCCGCGAACTATCAAATCTTAACTTCGACCACATTCAATCCGATCCCAACTATCGGGCGCGAGTGCACGTAATTGGAGCAAGCGGATTGCCCGTTAATTGCTGGCGACAGTAATTGCAGGCCGCCGCATACCAGGTGCGGCCAAGGTGTTCCGATCCTGTTAATGTGTCAATTGATTGATTGCCCCGCGACCTGTGACTGACGCGTGACCACGATGCTCTCGAAGAAGCGCTGGTGGAAGATCCGCCTGCCGCAGGCTGTCAAGCCGGATCCAGTGTTGAACCTCAGCGAGTGCGCCTCGGTGCTGGCCACCACCCTGGATGGGTCCGCCAGCACCTCCACAGCCACCACGGAGAGCAGTGGCAGCCCCACGCGGCACCGCAGCTGCGACAGTCTGTCCAAGAGCTCCCAGGCGGAGGCGAGCAAGCTCTTTCCCCGGAATATGCCCAGCATTCGCCGGAGTCGTCGGAGGGCCCTCTCCGCGGAGAGGGAGGGCAGGGAGCGCCTGGCCAGCCGGGAGCAGGAGAAGGTCCAGCCACCGCAGTTGCCTCAGAAGAGCACCGCACAATCCCGCCTGTCTACGGTGACCAAGCTCTCGCCCAGGAAGCAGGCTGCAGCAGGAAAGATTAGCTGCTCCAAGAACCGAGGCAATCCGCCGGCAAAGTGCATCATCAAGGCTGCGGTGCGGGCCAAGACCAAGCCCAAGCCTAGGATTACTCTGGCACCATACGAAATAGCCCTGGAACTGCCCAATGAGTCGCCAGCTCCCACCTTGGCCATGGCCGTGGCCCAGTCCTCCTCCGGCTGTGAGCTAAGGAAGACCATCTGCGAGGAGCAGTTCCACTCCTCGGGCATCTCCTGTAATGGGGAGACCGACGACGATGTGGAGGTGGCCATGCTGACGGGAAGCCTGAGCGCCGCCCAGATGGCCAAGATCCAGAAGCATCCCCCTCCTCCTCCTGCTCCGACTGTGTCCTTGCACTTCGGCGACCTTAGGAACCTCAACCTGTGCCGCAGCAGGAACGCCGTTTGGCTCAATCCCAAGGACACGGAGCAGCTGATCGAGCGGAACAGGAGGGATCCCGTTTGCTGCTTCAACCTGGCCATTGCCGACGATATCCAGCTCAGCGATATTGAAGAACAATTGGCCAGGTTTGATGGCCACTCAAAGAGGCCGCCGCCGCCGCCAGCAGCGACAGCAGCCAAAACGTAAGTCTTAGACTGGCCTATCTCTAATGGCCATAACTCTCGGCGATAACTGGGTCCGGGGAGGGGGCTGGGTTGGATTGTGGCCAACTAATTTGAAATCCATTTGATGAGCTTTGCATTTTCGGCCTTAAGTGACTATAAAGTGGTGCGTTGGCGGGGGCCGGAGGGCGTCGGGAGTTTATGGCCCAGTTTAATGGCTCCTTAATAGCTCTATACGAGTACGAGCAGAGTTCTCAGATCGGATTTAAGCTGGAGCTTTTAATTTTAATCATTGAAATCATATTTTACGGCTTTCCAAATGAAATATAACGAAACCTGTACCAGAGCCAGGGGCACAGCAGCTTCCAATCAAATGGGGTCGCATTCCATCTCACCAGAGGCTACAAAATACAAAATATTAAAATTTAATTTTATAGATTTTAGCTGCTGAATGGGCCAGAAACTTTCTACCTCTGTACAGCATTCTACGTTCACATTTTCAATAAGCCGATAATGAAGGCCAAATCGCTTGCTACCCTCAATTGGTGTTAATACAATAGAAAATAACTTCTCTAGCTATTTGGCCTTGATTTAATTATATTTTTCATAGATTAGGATTGGTTGAAAGTGTATAAATAACACTATTTCCCACTATTTTTTTATAACGTGAACTGTTATTAAAACATTCTCTTTGATAAACATGTTTCATAGAACTTATTCCTACAAATCCAAACCAAATTTTGTACAACTCTTTGACAGATAGTATCTAAAGCCCCTCTATATATAATGTTCACCTGATCTCCCAACATTCTGCGACGCTTCTCCGTTTCAATTGTGTTGAAAGTACAAATCTTACAGGTCGCGGTTGAATAATGGCAGAAATAATCCGGCATAAGAGGCTCAGAGTCTTTGGCTGTAGGCGACTGTTGGGGCCGCGCTAAGAAGGTGTTATTAATGCCCGACTATTTGCAAAACTGACACCGAAAGTTATTTATCAACTTTTCCGGCCAGCAGCACGTGCTTCCCTTCGGTCGGACCTCGCCCCTTGCCCCTTGTCGCGTTTTGTTAACTGGCCCAATGAAGTGCACTCCCAGCGGCTGCTGAGTGGCTAAATGAAGTTGGCAGAACTGCGGGTCCAGTGGGTACATCCCTTCGGGCCGTCCTGTCACTTGGTGTTTGCATCCACGATCGAGAGATCTCTGCCATCTCATAAATTCCACGCGTCGTCTCCATAAATTGAGTTCTTCTTTTGCCGCCTGCCAGCGTAGGATGCCCTTCGTCGATAAGGTATTCGGTATCTTAAAGATCTTCTGATCTTCGCTTGGATACACCGTGAAGAACGGAATGTATATAATTTTGATATTCAGTGGAACTGGAAGCTGTTTGTAAACCAACTATTTAGTATTAGTTATGTTTATCTCGGAGAAAAAGTCTGATATGAATATAGACAAATATAACTATAATTTTGTAATTGAAAATTTTGAATTTAGATTAGGTTACAGGATCGACAGCATCCTTGTCATTCCTAATTCCTTTAATTTTGCTGAGATGAATGCAAACATTTTTACACTAAATACATTTTTCTTTGGATGTATTCCATTTAGTTCAAAGGATTTAAAATACTTTTCTCTCGCTGTATCCCTTCCATACTTTGTATCTTTGTATCCTGTGCATTCCCTTCGCTTGACTGCATCTGCATGGACTTCTGTTCATAAATCTGTGCAAACTGTTAATTAGAATTTTTCGGCTCTGGTCATAAAAGTTAAAAACAAAATCATTGGGCCAGAGTGTGTGTTCCATACTTTCCCCCTTTTTCTACCGTAAAAGAACTTGTAATATGAGCCTACCTATTCGCAGCCTCAGCCACATCCGCAGAATCCATTAGCAATCAGTTGGGCCTATTAAATTCCCAGTTTAAATGAGCCAAAATCAATATTGACTGGCGGCTACTTAGGGCGTAATTAAGCGCCTGGCCGGCAGAACACTTTGCATAGGAATTCGCTCCTAGTCGAGGCCAGCTTCAACAATAAAATAAATAAAGAGGCCCGGTCGGTTGTGTTGGCCGACCTAGGAGCCCCCTCCGAGTTGGCCGGGCTAATTGAAGTTGGCAAAAGCAAAGGCAAAGGCAAAAGCAAAAGCTAGGAAGGAGCTCTCGGGTGGTCCACGGCGGGCTTATCGCTTTACGATTTGCTTTGATTCAAAAATGAGCCACGCATTTGATTTTAATTGCATTCGATGTGCGCAGTAGTTGGGAAAGGCTCTTGGCCATGATATATGGCATTTTAATTGAAATGGCAAAAAGGCCGACAAACGGACCGGGTTGGGGCCTTGGCTGGGCATTAATCTGACTTTAACCGATTCGCAGACATATCAAGTAACGCCCCTTTAATGCTCCGCTCTCCGGTGAAGTGAGGCTGGCTTTCTTTCTAATTAATATTTTTTCGATTTTCGCGGGGCGTATGAGCAATTTCTTGTGCTGTCAGCGAACGAAACTAATCAAAGTCCGGAGTCCGGAGAGTTCAAGCTCCTCCTCCGCGTCCGAGGGAATGTGACACAATCCCCGGGCCGAAAGGTTGTATAAGCCAAGCTAATGGGCCCGGGCCTTTGTCTGCCTGGTCAGAACCCAAGTTTTTATTGGCTCAACACCTAATCGTGAATCCATAAAACGCATTAAGAAAACACCGATTTACAAGTGAATGGGGGAAGACGACGACAGACGAGTTGATTGATTTCGTCTCGGGCTGGGGAAATTCAATTTATAATCAAAAAGTGGCCAGAAAACGAGGCAACGAATGAATGGGGGAAGGAACACATTTTGCCAAGCTGAAAATGTGTTTGTAAAATAAAATTGAAAACCGCAAATAAAATTAGCCGGGGGAAGGGGCAAGGCAAATTGAAGGGCGTTGCTTTCGAGGCTGATTATATTTCCTGTTCCCCACGCCGGATTGTGATTATCTTTTCTCCTTGGATGCCCCGCCAACAATTTGCCATATTTATCCGTACAAATTTCATATACCATACATATACATATATACGCACAGATACGCGGAATTTAGTGGCCATAAGTCAGGGGTCTTGGGGAGCGTGTGTAAACCAAGTTAAGTGTTCTAGCCACGATCGGGATTCGGCATCGGGCCTCGAAACTGGTTGCTTAGCTCCACGGCTCTTTGTTGCGTTTAATTTTCGTAATTTACGTTTAATTGAAATCGGAGGAGTTGTGCGCAGACCGATGTAATTAATTTAATGGCCATCGCTTTGTTGGTCAAATACAGGTGGGCAGCAGCGGTTTCTGCCCGTCATGCCCCTTACAAATCGCTGCCAAATTGTGGACAATTACCACGGCAGCATGTATATAGTTGCAGACTCTGCGGATCGCCCACGCTTCGAATCCGAATCCGAATTGATTTGTCATGAGAGCGCCAGAAATACATGGTTTAGAAATTGCCATCAATCAGACGATGGCGGCGGCGGCTTAATGAGAATCAAAATGCAAATCCGGTAAAACTAGCACAGATGTCACTTGGCCGGAGAGCTTGTGAAAGTGTCTGGCCGATCGCCCGCACAGGTCTACCTCTGGAATTCGAGTTGATAATCGTGATTTTCTTGAAATATTTTAGCCACTCGAGTCGAGAGATTTCCGCAAATTAATTTCGCCACTCTCTGCGGAGAGAAAGCCGGCACTCGGATGGATGCAATTCGACTCTGCCGATCCCCGATTTTCCAGATTCCCAAATAGCAATTTATCCGAAAAATACACGTGTACCTCTTACACTGAGCCAAAAATTGAAAGCATCGAGCTTAGGAATTAATTCAATATAAGGGACTGAAAAACCATTAAGAAAAAGTGTTCGAAATAAACCAATTATCATGGTATTTTCTAGGTTACTTCGTTTTAATTGAAACTTAGTACATTTCCCCCTATAACTTTAATTTATTTCCGTGTACATTGATGGGGGCTGCTGTTATGGAGCCATCGGGAGGACGTGAGTTGGGTCAACTTGGACACAATCGTCAGCATCAATCCGAATGGGACACGGGATCGGAATCCGAAGTGATTTTCCAGAATTCCCCCATATGTCGCGACGCCTACGCGACTGGAAGCGTTAATGAGACGCCGCTGGGCCTTTTGGCCAGGCCCTAGCAATGGCACTTGATAAATTGGAGCCAGCTCCTAACGGATCTCAGCCAGATCCTGTTCGCAGTCCCGGTCTTGGTCTCGGTCTGCCATTCAGGCTTCATTAGCAGTCGGCCGCGGCCAGAAGCAGTAAAAGTCGTTGGTTGGGGCCTCGCATTTTCGCATTCTCGGAGTGTCCCCTCCTCTCTCTCTCCCAGCTTCCACAGTTTCCACGGTTTCCACAGTTTCCCTCTCTGTGGCAGAACAAGACCAGACCAGGCCAGGCCAGGTCTGGACTGCTGGATGCTAGCTTCCTGGTTGCACCCAAATGCATTAGTCTAATGCGTACTCGGTGCTCTGTGGGCTTGGGGCTGTGTCAAGACGCTTGGACACTCTCAGGCCAAACATTTGATGACTTAATTGCGCATTTTAGCAGATACACATGAATGCGGCTCGAAGGCTGAGACAGTGCACAGTAAGAAACTTTGCCAGGATAATAGGTTGAAATTCAAATTAACTAAACGATTGCTAGGAGTAAATAAGATACCAAAGGCTTAGAGAATCAAGTTTTTCTGGGTTTTATATAAATATTCTCTATTTGAAATTGGTAACTTTTCGCAGTGTCCGGTTGCCCAAGGAGGTTCCCCTGTGATGCTGGCACTGAGCTTTATTTTGACAGGCGGCGATTAGAAGACGACGTTGCCTAGTTCCTCCATGGGAGCACCCCTTTCTGGCTGCTCCCTGCTCCCTGGCAGGCTCCTTTGTTAATTGAAATGTTGTTGCTGTCCGCCGATGCAGATGCTGATTCCGATGTTTGTTTGTTTGTTTGTTGGTTTCTGCCTCCCTTCCGCTGTCGCCTGTCTGTCAGATGCTTGTTGCTTTTGTCAGTTGTCATGTTCTGAGCGGG